TTCACCACTTCTATTTAACATCGTCCTTGAAACTCTAGCCAGAACAATTAGGCAGGAAAAAGAAAAAGGGGTACGAATAGGAAAAGAACTCAAACTGTCACTATTTGCCAATGACATGATTCTATATTTAGAACAGCCAAAAAATTTCACCAGAAACTTCTAAAACTCATAAATGAATTCAGCCAAATAGCAGGTTATAAAATCAACACCCATAAATCAAACATGTTCCTATATATTAGTGACAAATCTACTAAAAGAGAAATTAGGAAAACCCCATTCACAGTAGCTTAAAAAAAAAAAAATACATGGGAATCAATTTAACAAAAGAAGTGAAAGACCTCTACAATGAAAACTATAGTACACTAAAGAAAGAAATTGAAGAAGACCTTAGAAGATGGAAAGACCTCCCATGCTCCTATAAAGGGAGAATTAATAGTCAAAATGGCCATACTGTCAAAAGCACTATACAGATTTAATGCAATTCCAATTAAAATCCCAATGACATTTTTCATTTAAGTAGAAAAAGCAATCATGAAATTTATTTGGAAAAATAAAAGACCCCAAATAGCTAAAGCAATCCTTAGCAAGAAAAGGGAAGCCAGGAGGCATCGCTATATCAGACCTCAAACTATACTACAGAGCCATAGTAACAAAAAACGGCATGGTAATTGTCACCAAAACAGACTCGTAGACATGGTAATTGTCACCAAAACAGACTCGTAGACCAGTGATACAAAATAGAAGACACAGAAACAAACCCACATAAGTACAGTTATCTCATACCAGAAAAAAAAAACACCAAAAATATTCACTGGAGTTAAGTAACTTTTGAAATGTAAACAAAATGTGATAGTATGTTAACTTGCCTATTAGTACTCAACAGTGGAATTTGTTACCTAATGTGAAACAATTTTGTCTAAATGTTATTGTGTTATGTACTATATCTACATTTCACTTCAGACTCTAAACCTCAGTTTTCCCATCTGTAAAATAAGGGCCATAGCCACACATTGCTGGGTGTTGTAGGAAGTAAATGGCAGAGAGCTAGACATGTAAGAGCAATTTGGCAAAACAGTTGGTACTGTTCCTATCACCCCTGATATCTTACTAATTTTATTTGGTAGTGTGGTAGTTAGAAAAATGAAATTATTTTATTCAGAGCCAACTTTTTAAGAAAAATGTTGAAGAAATTACAGATGATGAGTATTCTGATAACCATTCTCGGTTGTTTTTCATAGCCTTTCCATTTATTTCTAACCCACTTCTCTGGCGGTGTCCTTTTTCTCCTTTTGCTGATGAGGAAACTAGTTTTCAAGGAACTTCATTGAGATGGTCAAGGTCACCAAATGAACTAGCCTCCAACTAAAGATACTGCTCAGCTTGTGTTGTTGTGTTTCACATGCTGGAGCCACTCAGCAGGGACCTGAGTTACACACTGGTCTTGAGGACTGCACCAGAGACAGGTGTCTCCTTGACTCTATATCAGGGTTCATGTGCTCTCCCTTGTTTATTTGCCTCTTAGCTCCACTGCTGTGTGCCAGGTCCTGTTTCTGAAAGCCAATAGCTTCATAAAGAGCCAGAAAAAAATGTCTAATTGGAGAAATGGATTAGAAATAATGGAAAGTCTATGAAATAGTACCAGGGAATGGGTACTAGAATACTCATTACCTATAATTTCTTTAAAAGGTTTTTTTCTTATTAGAAAATATAAGAATTTGGGTAAATGAAATAATTTTATTTAAAGTCAATTATGACACTATCAAAACTTTTTTTCAATTGAGGTATTTCTTCAGGGGTCATATTATTAGCAAATAGTCAGATCTCTCCAATACGCCCAGAGTTGTGTATGTCTTCCTATTGTGGATTAGTTGAAAGAGACATTGTGGGAAATAAAAGAACTTTCCAGTATTTTAATTGTACTTTATATTATAATATAAAGTATATATAATATAAATTGTACTTTACATTATAATATAAAGTATATATAATATAAATTGTACTTTATATTATAATATAAAGTACTTTATATTATAATATATTTTAATTGTACTTTATATTAATTGTACTCTATTAATTTCTTTCATTAACCATTTTTTAAAAATTTTAGACTATTATAGCAAATGCCAAAAATGTTATAGTCGTGCTGTTTTAAGCCTAGATTTGGCAAAATGTAATCTACTTCGAGCATGTTTTTCTTTTCTAGATAAGGGGTATTAAAAAGCATAAAAGGGAGCTAGTGGGTGAAGCTCAGTAGTAGAGCACTTGCCAAGCATTCAGTAGGCCCTGAGCTCAATCGCCAGCACCTCAAAAAAAAAAAAGAAGTTTAATAATAAGTCACCTGTATAACCCACTGTTCTAGCAAGTCTCAAAAATGATCTACAGAATATGAACAACTTTCATTCATATTTCCTTATAATCAAATTTAACAGATTATGTTTTTCTTTTCTCAGAAAAAAAAATAATAGTGAACCTTATGCTTAAATATTTAAGAAAAAATAGGTAATATGTCCAAATACAGCTTTTTGAGATGCTAATTATTGCTGAGTATGAGCACACAGGACACGTGGCAGGAGGGGTACATCCCATCTGGGAAGAGAGAACCAGGGGATTTTGAGGATGACACCATGCATCTTCTTATTGGTATTGGATTAATCTCTTAATATCTAATTAACGTTTCTTTTGTGGTTCTTTTTCTTTTCTTTTTTGTAACACCTGTGAGCTTTTAAACCTTTAAGTAACTAAGAAATCCAAATGTGTGAAATTCTTTGATTAAGGAAGCAAATGCCCAGAAGTGTATACAGTTCTTTGAAATACTGTTGTGCTCTGCTTTTTAACTTTGGTGGTAGGAGATCCTTGTTTAACATTACACATTGAAGACATTCTAAGCTTAATTTCAAAAAGATTAAGTAAATACCAAAGATCAGAAAATTCTTAACAACCACTTTGAACTTGTCACCTTATTATTAACATTGATAAATTCACATGAATAACTTCATTCCATTTTTTTAAACTTTGAGTCAAATAGGAAATGTAACTGAACATGCATTGTTTTTAGTTAATTTTTTTAAAAAAATGAGTTGCCTTTTCTACTCCTTTATCACTTTTTTCATACGCCTCATTGTCAAGATAACTGAAATCACTTCAGGCTACTCATATGACTCAAGTTTGGATTTGGAAATAGATGTTGAAGTGAGTGCGGTTATCTTTTGTGTGCAGTGAAATAATCGGGCAAAATGATTTTAAGATAGTGTTGTTTACCAAAAGCAGTAATTTTATTTCTCTTCCTCTAAAGATATTTTCTCTCAGGTGTTTCTCATATAGATCAGGTGAAATTGCAAATAATTTATGTTTGAGAGAGCATTTTCTTTTTAAGAAAGACAGCTGTTAGAGTTCACCACAGCACAATTCACTTTCGTTTTTATTCTATGGTATTCTGGACATCATTTATAGACAGGCATTTTTCTTTAGTTTTGTCTCACTATTCAATTATGTTTGTGCTTTTCTTTATACTTGAAATTAGAGGCACATGCCTTTCCAAGACAACTGTATGCTGAATAAGTTCTTGTCTTCTTCACCAAGAGAAATAAGCAAAGACATCTTCTGTGGCAGATGTTTCTGACCGAGTTTATAAAATGTAGATAAGGAGACAAAATATCCAGATTATAGTGATAAAACCCAACTGACTCTGTGTGTATAAATGAAATGCTACCACAGTTGCGTATTTTTTAAAATTAATTTTTAACCATACAAATAACTTTATCATTTCATTCCTCTTGTTAAAACAAAAAGTATGAATGAGATAAATTCTTCTGTAGCTACCACACTTTGGTAGGCATGTCATCCTGCATAAAAACCGCTACACTGCATAACTATAGAATGACTCAATGTTCAGTTCCAAGAGGAAAGCCTATCCACTGTTTCTAAGTGTTTCATGTTATTTGACTCAGGTTGCTCTAGGCCAAGGAAAACTTGAATCCCCAGGGTTGAGGAAGAGGAGATTCAGAGGACATGGTTCTGACCTGTGGTAGAATAGGAGGAAGGTAGAGCAGGAATATTCTTGTCCAAGGAGACACTTAAGATTATTCTGCTGAGGTTAAGTCATACAAACTTAGGTGGAATTTGATATTAGGAGAAGTTATCACATCTAGTATACATGTTCACATGTGTACATCAAATAATTTCATTAGAGCCACTGATAAAAACTTTTTCAAATTCTTGCTTAGAGTTTTATTCATCAATATGGCTATTTGTTTGGTAGCTACTATTTATACCTACTATGTAGTAGGAATTTTCCATGCCTTATTTTTAAGGCTATTATCCCTACTTTACTGATGAGAAAATTGAGACTCAAAGAAGTAAATAGTCTATTCTGAGGCCCCATAGTGATTGGGAAGTGGAGTGGGGGTTGGATTCTGTCTTCCACTTGGGTTCTTCAACTTGACACTGTGTTGCCTAAGAAAATTGGTTTCTTGTATGTACATGTATAATTGCTTAATGTCTTTTAACTCATTGAATGGCATAAAAATTTTAAATTCTCATTCTAATGTCATTCTGATTTTCTGGGCATCATCCCTTTTTGACAGAGAAGATACTTTATGCTTAACCAGAGGTACTGAGTAGACTCAACTCACCCATCATTTGAATGACAACTCAGGTTTAAAGCTTCATGAATCCTAATTAATAGCAGCATAGTGCAGTTTGAATTCTTTTTGACCAACTAGTGTGTGTGTGTGTGTGTTTGTGTTTGTGTGTGTGTGTGTATTGGGGTGGAACCCAGGACCTCATGCAAGCTAGGCAAGTACTGAGCTACGCCCTTAGCACCAGTTAATTTTTTTTTTTTTAAACACAACACATAATGCTCCAAATCCTCAAGTTACAACATTCTGTTATCAAGTTCTCAAGTACTTTTTTGGGGTTTGTTTTGTTGGGTCATTAAAAATTTTAAATGAACCTGCAGAATTTCTTGACTGAGAATCTGCCCTGTTTTTCCCTTTTTCTAGGTCTATTATTAGCAGAAGATTTTTCTGCATAGTTGGCACGCTGTACCTGTATCGGTGTATTACAATGTATGTAACTACACTCCCAGTACCCGGTATGCATTTCAACTGTTCTCCGAAGGTAAACTATTCCTCACTGTAATTTCCCTTTTTGTTTGTTTCTGGTCTTGCCAGGGGCCCCTCTGTCTAAGGCTGAATGTAAGCATTTCTTCAGAATACAGTCAAGTCCCTCCAGCCTCATCTGGGAAAGTCACTAAGCAATAGGGCCAGGCAGCCACACCCTTCTCAGCACTTCCAGTCCCGCCAGTGCCTCCCAGCTGGGGAAATTTGTGGTCTAGTTAGTGTGCTGGAAGCAGTTGAGCTTTGCGTGTGGGTGTAGCTCTTTGGTTTCCTGCCACACTTCTAAAATATCATTCACTCCCTTGACACAGATCCAGAGGCTTTTGTATGCTTCCTCCCTCTCTTAGATAGAAAGCTCAGTTCCAAATGATATTCTTTTCTGCTTCTTTCTATTAATCCCTACCGCAGAGCAAGCAAGAGAATTATTCCTATCCCCTAGAAGCCCTCTACTAATTCACATAAGGTCACTGTTCTCTGGAAGTACATATGGCCTTGTATCTACAAGCTCTCTGGTAACATAAAAGTTTTAAAGAATTTTTCTCCTCTTATATCATCTCTGCCTTTCTGCTGGGTGCACGTAATACTCTTTATACAACTTGGTCTTGGAAGAATTTTTAACTAGGGAGATCATTAGAACTTTATGAGATAAAGAGATTTGATTTTTAAAAATGTTTACCTCCATTAAAGCTCTTTAATGTAGTGAGAAAAGGAAGAAGCTAATTTCTCTCTTGATTTTTGGTGGAAGAAACCACGGACTACTCTACTGTGTTTGAGGTCATTTCTTTGCATTGCACCTGGTCTGGAGAAACAGCCAGGTGCTTTTGGTCCCTTTCTACTTCTGTTCCTTCTAAAAGAGACCTTGTCTTGAAAGGGGGATAGCCATTTCACTTTAGATTTTTAAAGAGGCTTCTTTATTGTGTGAAATTTTGGAGTGTTTTAGTTAGTTCGCGCCCTGTGGTCCACCTTTATTTCTAGATTCACATATATGCCTGCAGAGGTGACTCGCTGTTTCTTTCTTGCCTTTTTTACACTTTTTTTGCTACATAGTACTTCCTGAATTCTGGAGACACTGTCCTGGAGATGAATGTTGTCAACATTGCTTCTTCTCCACAGGGCAGCCCTTCCTCCCTGTGCTCCCCTTGTGCTCTTTCCTCGGCCTTCCCAAGAAGCCAGCCTTGCACCTTTTTTATCCTCTCTGAAAGCAATGACTTGCAGCATCCAGGCAGGGTACAGGAAGTATCTTGTTATCAGTGAGAGGATATGGACTCTTGCTGGGGCTCGATAAGCAGCATGTTGTCAGTATAAACTGACAATTTAGGCCATTGACCAGCTCCTGAAGAGAGTCTGTGCATTGGAACAGTTTGCCATAAAGGGATAGGTGGATTCCGAGTAAGCCCGCATAGAAGGTGGATTCAGCTCTAAGAGGCTGTGATGTCTCTCCTCTGGGTCTAGCCTGTGTCTTCAGGACCTCTGCAGTTCTACCCAGTTGCTAGCAGACCCACACTAGGGAGTTGGATGGCCACTCAGAGGCCAGTTGAGTCCTCAGCCTATCTAACCACAGTCCTGTGGCCAACAATAGCTTCTGGGTTTTCCTGGTAAAGACAGAGATAACAGCAGGAACTGCTGCACACTCACCAAACTCAAATGTGTCACCCATTTGCCATGTTGCCAGAAATCCCAAACAGGGCCATGATTCTGTGACAGTCTTCTGGAAACTGGAATTCAAAAATAAACAGGAAAGGGTGAAATAGTAGCATACCCCTCAGCAAAAAGTAGTAGTAATTAAAACAATTAAATCTAATTACTACTTCTATAGAATAAGACACTTACACTTTCAGATGTGTCTAAAGTAGAGAGACTAGTCTAAGAAAATTCTATACACCCAGCACCCAGTTTCGTTAATAATCGAGATGTACTGCATTTGGTTCATCAGTTTGTTCCTTTTTTTTTCTTTTTGAAGCATTTTAAAGCAAACTCAGACAGTGTCAGTTTATCACTGCATATTTTAGGATGCATCTAAAATCTGTGGACATTTTACTGCATAACCACAATGCTGCTGCTAATTATTTGGTATTGGCAGTTATAAGTCCATGGAATTTCCTGATGGCCTTGAAGGCCTTCTTTTCTTACTAGTTGGTCTGCTTCCATTAGGATCCAAAGTCTTTACCTTTTCTTGCTCTATCTCTTAGCAGTTCTTTCTCTTTTTTCCCCCGCCAATGACTTGTCGAGATTAGATCATTGGCCCTATAGAACAGCCCACAATCATGTTCTGGATTAGTCTGTCTGTTTCTTTCTGGTGTCAGGAAATTTGTTTTCAAACTCCATATTTCCTCTGAATAGAAAGTTGACTTGGGAGACTTAAATGTATTCAGTTTTAACTTTTTTGTTCAGAACACTTCACGGGTACAACAGAAAGATTTCTGAAACTAGACAGAAGTGTTAGAAAAGTCCTTGAAGGTTTGATGCTGCCCCTTGGATGGCAGGTTGAGCTTAAGAAATTCAGTGGTCACTGAAAGGCTAGGTTGCTGCTCTGGGGACCAGTGTCATTAGGGAGAGGAGGTGGTACTAGGGAAACCTTGGAGACCAGCTCTGCCTACTTTAGAGTGATACCAAGCCTAAAGGCTCTGGAATTGAAAGAAACTTAAAGGAAGTCACTTGGGTCCAGTGTTCTTCTTGATGTCAGAACATCGTCATTGCTGCTAAATTCTCCTCAGCCTCTCTCTGCCCAGAGTGGGATCCTCTCACCCCAGTAGCACAAGTTTACCCAGCAGTAGAGGGACCGCTGAGGTCAGGGTAAAGGTGGTTTTGCACATCAGTTTGTTAGCTGAGTGGCAGGTCATTTAACTTCTTAGAGTCTCAGTTCCTTAGTGACAAGCAGACCTAATGATGCTATTGGCATCTGTCTTAGGAAGTTGTAGGTGTGAGTGGAGATAGTGTATAGGAGCTCTGTCACTGTAAGGTATTATACAGAAATAAGAGGAGGACTTGGTATTATCATGCTTCAACTCTAGACTCATTCATCTAGTCAAAAGTGGTGTTACAACTTGCTTCAAGTGTCTTTAGGTGCTGGAGTACATGGGGTGAGCAAGGCAAATACAGTCTTTGTGGAAAAGAACCTTAAAATTCACCTGGTTGAGGCTTGTACCTTATAGAATAAATTTTTAAAATATTATAAAAAATCCTCAAGTTAAGCCGTTTGCCCTAAGGATGGAAAGAAGAGACAGATTTGAGCAGTATTTAAGAGGTCAAATGTTTATAGATTGATTATATGGAATGAAGATAAAAGGGAAAGATTTCAAAGACTGGGTTTTACCACTAGGATAATTATAAGAGCGGGAGGAAAAGGCAGTTAATGACTTCAGATGAAACACGGAGTGTGAGGTACTTGAGAGATAGCTTAGTGGTGATGACTATGACATTTATTAGTATAGGGAAGTTAAGGAAAAAATCAAGGCTTATAAACAAATATTCATGATTTATCCTGTTCTGGATGATAGTTAAAGCTGTGAGTATGGATGAAAAGGCCCAGAGACAGGATGTAGAAAATACAGTGCTTTAAGAATTAGATATTCCATAGTTTGAGACACCATTTCAGGCTGGTCCATTGGGTGGATACTCTTATTTTTAAATCACTAAATTTGTAAGGAGAGAGCTGAGCTTCAGAGTATGACTCTATTTACTCTAGTCCTGTAAACTTGCACGAGGCTCTGCCCTCATTGCCCATGTTAACACACTCAGTGCTTCCTTAGCACTAGTGCTAGTCACTAGGAAATTAGTCTCTTTTTTCGTTTGATATCAGTGTACTCCTCACTTCACGAAACATAGCAGCTTGAGAAATAATCATTGTGTGATACCAGGAGATTAGGATAAAGAGCAGGCCTCCTATCAAATGCTGCTGCAACAAGGGTAAACCACAACGAAACATGGAAAGGGAAATAGGTGTGTTCAGTTCCGGGATTATGAGTGTGAGGGAAGCGCCTGTCCCATATCCTGGAGTACGTGCAGGATAGGCTTATGCTGGAGCCTGCCAAGCGCTTGAGACCTTGACCCTATGTTAACCTCGTCATGGTTTTCTCCATCTCCTTGTAACCATTCATGACTCATTGTTTTTAAAAGGCAGAAACATTTGAGAATTCTTTGATTTTCTAAACTCCCTGTAGGTAAGTTTTTATACTAGTTTATCAAATATATATATATATATATATATATATATATTTGTTTATATATATATAAACAAACACACACACACACACACACACACCAGGAATTGAACCCAGGAGCACTGAAATATTGAGCCACATCCCCAGACCTTTTTAAAATGTTTGATTTTGAGATAGGGTCTCTCTGAATAGCTGAGACTGGCTTTGAACTTTGCGATCCTCCTGCCTCGGCCTCCCAAGCTGCTGGGATTATAGGCATGCACTATCACAACCCACAGTTTAGCAATCTTAAAAGAAAAAGCTGTACCTTGGTCCCCAGATACAGAGACAACCTAATGCTAATGGAAGAGAAGAAATACTGACACTGCTTTCCACTCTTGTTTAGTTATTAGATGAGTTAATCTAATAGTGTCTAAGCATTAAGGTAAGGTGTGTGTTGGTTGTGTCTAATCTAATAGTGTCTAAGCATTAAGGTAAGGTGTGTCTTGTGACTTCTGTGGTGGCCTTAGATTTGAAAAACTTTGAAAAGAAAGATTACAGCAAAGGCACTTAGCTAGCTGATGCATTAATGTGGCATGGAATTTTCAGTGAAATGATTCTTTTAAACATGAAAGACATGCTTTTTAGTTCCGCCCCCAGCACAGATCCCACTTTTGGACAAGGGTCATGTTTGGATGGCATCTGAGGCTGATTGCAAACTGGAGCAAATGAAATAGCAAAAATACCTTCGTTTTCTTCTCTGCATTGTTAGCTTGTCTCAGTGCACAGATGAGAAAGGTCAGAGTTCCTCCTTCAACTTGCTGCTGAGCTGGGACTTAAGCTGCATAGAAGTCATCACCAG